TCCTGTACAGGGCAGCTTTTCGCTTTGACTCTGCCCGAACGAGCGGTTCTCCACCTCGCTAAAGAATACCTGAGCTGTGCTATTCCGGACACACGTGGTCTCTGGAGCTTCTGCCCATTCTTCAGTTGCCCGTTCCCCTGTACGTGATGACGCATCAGGGGCAACGGGGCCTTCCTCTTTAACAGTTCTCTGACGCTTGCGAGAAGCCTGCAGAAGCAGGTACAGCATATGCGCGAATGATGCTGCTGGCGTGCACGTGCTCATGAAGAAGTTGCAGAGCAGTACCGCAACCATAAGAAACGTTTAAAGCAAACTGCCACGCCGTTTGCAGATCAGTAATGACGGCGCAGGTGAGGGTATAATCATGGCATTACAGCCATAATAAGACAAAATCAATGCACTACGAACCGAGGTGCATCCAAAGCAACGGAGTATTGCTCTAAAAGTAATATCGCATGAATCCACCAGGACAAATGCGGCTGCCAGAAGGCTGGGGTGCATGTAGGCACGCACATAAACATCAGCAAGCTCAGTAGCTAGCTACCCAACGAACTGTCCACGTCGCTAGCTAGCATGCAAGCAAGTGAAGCTTACCGATTTCCGGCAATGAAAAGTGAGTGCAAAAGACCTTCGTGAGGCTCCACCCTCGGTTGGTGCGTCTTCGCTTGCGATTGACTGAACGGATCTCAGTCGGGTATCTAGGGTAGCAGCAGCAAGTTGTAGTTCACTAGTAACATAGCGGCCTGCTGCAGCTTCGTTTGCAACGGACCTTGACAGCTCGCAGTTGCCTATGGAAACCAGCCGGGTGCTGCTGTAGCTGCTCATTCGTGTCGAGTCCAGCATATGTTTGCCTGCTTGTTCTCTGCGCGTTGTGCTTGGAGGATCTTCAGGAAAGAGGCTCAAAGATACTTCTCGCTCTTCTTCACAAGGTCTAGATGCGTCTGTTTGCGTGTCTTTTTGCACTTCTTCTTCTTCTTCGAATTCCACCGTTTGGCCCTGGTCCTCCTCAGCTCGTTGCGTCGTATCTTCTTGAGTATCTGAATCCACCGATCTGGCCCCTGTGGAAGCTGGCTGTTTAGCACTTCTAGGAAGAACATCAGGTGTGGAGTACCGCAATTCCCACCCCGTTGTATCTCCCACATGGAGCAAGCGCGCCGACCCGGGGTTTCCGTACCGTCGCACAACGGCTGGATCTGCTGCTGCTGCTCCTGCTGTTAACGAGGAGTTCTTTGTTCCCGTTCCCGCGACACTGGAAGCAGCATCCGAGTTTTTCTC